CAATTTACACAATTTTATAAATATATATAATATTTTTTTACTTCATAGGTTTTATAAATAACTTGCTGAGTCAGCTACTTCGTCCGCGAAGAATTGTTATTTTTGGGATCAAGTTTGTTTTCACAAACCTATTCAACTCTATAAATTAAAGCTTTTATCCACGACGTCATCCGCGTCTCGTCGTTCTTACAAGTTAATCTTTAATAATAGACATATAGCGTCGGGGACTTTTTTTTAGATCATTAAAAGTGAAATCATTCTTTCATACATATTTTTTGGGTGTCTCGAACCGTTTTTGCAGCGTACGCCTCGGAAACCTATAATGATGAATAATTTTCCCAATTTTTTTTTACATTTCCCGCTGTACCTTCGCTTGTATTAGTCACAGGGCGACGTTTTATATAAATGCTCTAACCAACACAAAAAGAATAATCCAATTCGAACCCGTAGTTTCTGAGATTAGTGCGTTCAAACAGTCAAACAAACAAACTCTTTAGCTTTATATATTAGTGTAGAAATAATAATTTTTACTTTATAGGTTTTAGAAATAATGTATGTTTTGATATTATAAGATAGTATGATGATATAGTAAATAGGTACTATCATTGTAAATGTTGAGATTCATTATCGCGAACCCCCACAGTTGTCATAGACTCCTAAGGGTCGATACAGACCACTTTGGGAATCACTGTTCTAGACTGTTTCTAATCTGTGGTTAAGTACTATTAAGTGTTTTCCTGATAGCATCTGTGGCTTAAGCTTATTTCTTACCACACTTAATCTAATATAATTATAAGTTTCTAATGTAATCTAATGTATTTATAATCTAGTATAATTGTCGTGCCAGTGTTAGTTATCATACGAAACGGCTTGACTGATTTTTATGAATTCAATTGCATATTCATGTACGTATGTCTGACAATCAGTTTCTATCTATTTTTCACATCCCTGAAGTAATGATTACCCCTACAGTTTTTTTCACTTTTTGGACTACGTTTTTTATATTGTGGAATGAATAAATACATATAACTACTAAATTTTTATCCTTCTATCACCAATTGCTATTTTTTATATGACTAAACAACTTTTTTAACTAGTATAATATCATTTTAATTTGCTAACTATTATGTAATATAATCGATTGGTCTAGGCTTCGATTCCGGCCAAAATGGATCCTGATCGGAAATCGCTTTGCAAATACATAGTTTAATATTAAGTTAGACAACTTAAACTATTTATTTGATTATATATCTATGTACATTTTTCTTTTATGATTATTAAACAATTTTAATGTATTTGATTGAATACCAAATAAACAAACTATGTATACATAGCGTTCGCTGAAAGTAGCCTTTTAGAGAGCCTGATGCCGAACCGGGATATATAACTTGATGGGAATTTATTGCCAGAAGCGGGCGCACCCAAGGAAACCTTAAACCATGTTATACCAAGTAGGAGCGGCCTCTGACGCGAAACGGTGTTTACTCTTCCCTTAGAGTATCTACACCGTTATGTCACTCAGTGTCGATCGTGGACGCAACACGATTTTAAATACTTTATTTAAATCTTTGATTTATTAGTGTACAAGGAATTTCAACAGATTACAACGAGATATTTGTTAGTAGGAAAACATCTTGACGTTTCGGATGCAACCGCGATCCCTCTGTGATCCATCGTTGATATTTGTGTTTCTTTAAACACAAATATCCGTTAAAAGAGTTTCATTTAAATATGAGCTACTCGAGTAAATTACGAAACGATATTTGGGTATTTTTTAATAATGAAAATTTTGGATTCAAATAAACACGTACAAACGTTTGTCTCTAGATAAAAGTAAATTTGGATAGAATTAACTTTGATTCAGCTATCAGCATTTTTTGGTAATGGAAGTTTTAAGCTTAGTCTATATGTCTTTGAAAAAATATATTGCGCGCAAGAACGCATAATTAAACAAAATAAGTGATTAACGCTAATAACTGTTGTCTGTCAAATCTATGCTGATTTTGGTGAAGTTTTGAACAAAAAAAGCTCTATATTACAACGTTTTTTATGATAGAGTAGGACAAAGAAGCGTAAAGGTCACTGGATGGTAGGCGACATACCCCAACCATGTAATATTTAAGTAAGATTTTCGACCGACCACATTTGGCTTTAGATATGTTCTTTATAAAATCACAATTGTGTAGAATTACTGTTAACGATTGTCATTGAAAAATAACTCTAAATTTCCATTTACCGTGCTTTTCCCTCGTTGTTTACACCGTTATGCGATGTGGGCGCAGAGTGATGGGGGCATCACGATGTGGGCACCACGAGCGCCATAATGAACCCTTTGTCTAGTAATTGGTTATGGGGGCCCAATACCATTAATTTGCAGTTCTGATGGTACACGTGTTTGTTTAATTTAAAGCATACGCCGCTTTCTCCGTTCTCTGTTTAGATAAGGTGATGTCGCAACGCTAAAACAATGAGTGCTTAATTGTATCTCCGTACTTTCAACGTGTCCCTATGTTGCGAGTTCAGTGAACTATGTGGGTGTTATAATTACAAGATAGAAAAACAATACTAGTGTTAACGGGTTTGTTGCTTTTAAAGAAAAACAGTTTAACGGTTTAAAACGCGATAAAAGATGGCCGGTGTCTCTGACGTCAAAGTAAAAACCTGCTACGCTAGCACCATCTGTTTCGTCGAAGTATTTGTAGAAATAAGTTTGATATATTTCGCGTTTTAAACCGTTAAAGTGCTTTATTTAAATGTGAACTACTCGCGTTAACTACAGACAGGGTTTGTTCATCAAAAGCGCTTCAAATAGTGCGCGCGCTATTTGACAACATAATCTTTGGATATTCAAAAATCCACAGACTACATCTGTAACGCGATTAAACACGATCTGTGAATAGTAGTTCATGACTGGACAGTATTACCTGTCATTTACTATCCAGACTTCCAGACCAAATCTAACATATTTAGAAAAAAACATATAAATTGAAATTAGAAACGTGTAGCTATAAATAAGCTATTATTGGAAAAATATGCCTCAGACACACTATTAGCATCATTAATAATTTTCGTCCTTGTACATATCTCTCTAAGAGACTTCTTATATAAGTATATTCAAGTATCATCTATAAATAATCGATTAGGTACATTGTAATAATAACTGGTTATTCAAATTTACTAGTGTAAGATAATTAAAAAATATTTTTACACAGAATTGAACATAGAAACAAAATAAAACGTGATAGTTCTAAATTGAAAATTGATTATAAATTGAAAAAAAAAAGAAAACGACACGAGCAGGACTTGAACCGGCGTCCACAGCATTCCGTGCTGTTGTTTTAAGCATTGAGCTACCGGGTTAGGGTAGAGTAAGAGCCAGCAACTGTTATCAATGTGTAAATTATATAGTGCCATTATGTGCAATAATATGTGAATAATATTAAAAATTTCAAACGTGATAGATCTATATACCTTTTAGATGACCTAGTCCCAGCTGTGGGAACGGACACACGATAAGTGATCTATTCCTAAATTGAATTGAATGCATATAATCGATTACTTTCTATCATGTTGATTTAATTACTCGACTTACTATATGCGTTATTAATTATGATTTATGGTAGTTTAAATGCATGGTAGGGTTCTCTGAGCATAACCAATGTTGATTTGAATGCGGGATGCTGATCAATTTTGAGCAGTCAGTGCAGTTGATTTGCTTTAACCGACACTTGATTGATTACTAGTCAAGCGGATCGCGTTGACAATTTGACTCTTAAACGTGTATCAAATGACTTTGTTAATAATTTGTGCCAATATCAAGAAGTAAATAAAAATTTAAATTATATTATTATTGCCGCTGAAAAGGAAGCCACTCGGCTACGTTGGGACTGAATTAAGTTTTTATTTCGATTCTATTACTGTCTGTCATAGATTAGAAAAGTTCCATGACGTAAGGGGGCTGTTCTACTACTACTAAGTAACCACTGTAACTTTTAGCTTTCGAATGTTTGAAGTAACTGTTTTAAGATGGAAATGTTTAAAATGATAAATGGTATAATTATTACCTAGTTATATCATTCATAATAACCACCGCAAATATCTACATTTATTTTTCATTAAAGAAAAAGGGAGCGGGCTATTTTGTAGCTTCGAAATACCGAATTTAAATATCGTTTATTATTTTTATATTATCTCTCTCTTAAATTATTATTAATAAATAAACTCAGATTTTTTTCTTTGGGATGTTATTTCATTTGCATACTTAATAAAGTGTATACTTTTAATAACAATTATTTAGCAGTGTCTTGTCCCTTACTTATACTAGCAACATTAAAACAGGCAATAAACTCCGACGCAGCGCGATATAATAGATCATCAAAATAAAATAAATTTATTACAGCAATTCGTTATTTAATTAAGACATTAAGGTATATTTCAACCTGATTTATATTATCAGTCATTACCTCTATTGGGATAATGATAACTACTGTATGGCGTTGCTTTATCGGTTTCCTCGTAAGTACTTGGCTTAAGGAAATCTCTTTATATTTAAATAAAGTTAAACTAATATTTTTCGCGTTTTAAATTGTTTTATTTTAATGTGTTCTACTCGCGTAAAGCACAGACAGTATTTAAATCCCTTTATAATTATTTTAATACTAAGTATTAACCTTCTAGAATAAAATAAATAAGAACATATTTAAAATCATTTTATTTAAAAAAAAGATTCACTCAATATATTTTTTTAAATTATAAAATATTTAATAATTAATAATTTTATACTTCATTATAAAAGTCATATTAGGGATCATTTATTCGCAATCATTTGTTTGAATTCTTAAAACATTGTACGTAGGTAGGCAGAAAGCTACTATAAAAAACGACCTTTCATATCGTACAGAAAAACAAAATACGCGCGAAGTATATATATATGGAAACCATAATCTTAATTAACCAATTACAATTTATGTATATTTTACAAAAATATTTTTTTGTTACAGGCTCTTAGTTGGCGCTCCATTAGGACAAAACTTGCAACCCAACACGACGAAATCAGGTGCTCTATGGAAATGTCGCCTTACCACAGCACAACGAGACTGCGAGCAGATTGTCACAGATGGAAAAAGAAGTGAGTAAAAGAAAGAGACAGAATATCGGAAGAACTATCCAGTAAATTTGGGATTGGGTCAATTATATTTTTATACTACTTTCGACGAATTGAAATGCGGTTCGTTCTGTTTTGTAGTTTTAAATACGTCTTTTAAGGTCTATGGTAACTTGTCTGTCATCTGTGCTGGGCTTGAAGGTCTCGTTACTAGGCATTAAATATTAAAAAATTATATATCATCTGTAGAATGGAAGTAAGAAGAAATACCAAATAAGAGTATAGTTTAGTAAACTTAGATAACAAATATAATTACTGAAAAAAAAATTACTTTACTTTAAAATCTTCCTGCTAGATTTGAGACCCAATCCCAAATTCGTTACATTGTGAAAGTACTTTTGGAGACTTTCTAATTTCGAACTAATCATTGCAATAGAGATAAAAAACGAAATTCAAAATTCACACGTAGGTGTAAAATATACGTAGAGTGGAAACAGCATCGTAGTTATAAAACGCACAGGTACAAACAACGCAACACTATTTTAGTGTTTTTATTAGTTTTCACCAACACGGACAATAGTTACATAGTTATAGAGTAGTGAACTATTTTTTTAAGATTAGTTTTCACATTATCAATCTAAAAAGGTTTTACATCACCTTTGTGTAGGTTTCCTTCAAAATTATGAGAAGAAATTTAGATTTAAATAAAACAGTTTAGCGAGTAGTGCACATTTAAATAAAACCCTTTAACAGTTTAAAACGCGATATATTAGTTAAATTTGTTTGAAAATGATTTTTAACTTCGGCCCGACGTTTCGGATGCTTTGCAGTAGCCCTGGTCACGGGGAGACATGGGGAAACGTCGGGCCGAAGTTAAAAAATCATTTTCAAATAAGTTTAACTAATATATTGCGTTTTAAACCGTTAAAGGGTTTTATTTAAATGTGTACTACTCGCGTAAACTATAGACAGAAATTTAGATCTTTGTTAAATACGGCAGCCCAATTTATTTTTTAGTGTAAGACTTTAGTGAATTTTAGTCCATTTTTAAAAGGCTCCATAATACACAATATGACGCCATTCCTAACCTGTTTTATTCTCTATTTAAAACTGTTGTCTTTTGTCGGTGGTGCCCCAAACAGCGAAGTACGGCAAGATAAACACGAGTAAGTGAGCTGTGGTCTCAATCTCTTAAATCATTTTGCTCCTTGACTAATACCGACTAATCTAATCAGACTGAATACTAATCGTCGACTGCCGCTCTTAAGTTACGCATGCGCAACTAACCGTTTTTTATTTTATTTTTAATCTGCACCAATGCTAATTGGGGTTTATTTCTGTAGAAGTAATGCCCCAGCAATGACTCACTACCATAACAGCCTGCAAATCGCACCCACTCACAACGCTTGCTAGAACACTTTAGAGGAAATAGTTGTAATAAATAATGTTAGCCAAACATGCAAGCTAGATAAATTTAAAATTTATTTTGGATTAAAAAATATTATGACACTAGGGAACACTAAGGTTCTCTAATCACGAAAAGGCCCGGAATAATTTTATGGATAAAGGTCGAATTACATATTTTTTTGGTTTTCAATTAGCATTTAATGATTGTCAGATTTTGCCTACAAAATCAAAGTTGGAGTTTTTTAGAAAATCTGAAATATTTATTGCACTCCGGGAGGTCTCCACAGTTCTCTGATGTAGTTCTATCTATTGAGCTACCGTGTTCTGCACGACACCTTCGAATTCTTTCAATAATTTTTTACCTATATATAGCTCTTGCCTAATGTCAACCTTACTATATTTATTGATCTATGTTCCAGAAATTTGAACAATTGAATATAGTTTTAATTTAAAATAAATTTTAAGTTTTTAAGCTATCATGTACATGTAAAAACAATAAAATTGAAATGTATCGGCTATTTACGATAGCGTTACAAAAATTGCAGAAGTAAAACATAGTAATTGACATAATTATTTTATATACACAATAACAACTTCAGGTGATCGGTAAACTTAACCAGCAAATTACAGGTCTTGGAAATTAAATTGCACCACAGCCAATCGCGAAATACCACTTTATTTCTGGTAGAAATCGTCTAACAGTTCACATACTTTTGAGCCGATTAAACTAACGAGTAACCACTTCAAATTAAACATAATTGGTGTCTTTGGTGAATTAATGAGTCCATCGTGAGCAAAATTAACAAGTAGAATTTGATCTATTAACCCGAGACCACACGAAATCGACCACGTATTTACTTCGTTGCAGGTTTCCAGAATTCACCTGTCGAATGCTATCAATATTGCATGTTTATCGTCATAGTGCGTACTGTGCATAGCACAATTATCTCTTCTTGCAAAGTTTTGGTTTTCGCCACTTATTATCGTTTACCATCGCATCACGCCTGGTTGCAATGCTTTGCATTTACCGAGGTATATCTTGGTCTTTCATTGGGTTTGTTTTAGCAACAGAAGTGAAAGCAACATCGACGGATGTTTCTTTATCTTCTGAACTATGTGAATATACAATTCTGTGTTTAAATATGTTTGGGTTCTGTTTCTTGCTGGTAAAACAGAGTTCACTGTTTCTAATTACGATTGATTTTTTTTTTGTGAGATACTAATATGAAATAGCTTTGAAGATACACGTGTCAGATGCTTCATTTGGATTGGTAATTGTGCGAAATTTTAATGCGTTTATCCCGATATAGCTTTGGATTCCTTTCATCTCTCTGGGCCGCATCCTGACGAGATCAAAGATGGACAGTGGCTGGGTGTTTCGGTTCGCAGTCAGGGGCCAGGGAAGAAAGCGGTTGTTTGTGCGCACAGGTAAAATAACAGATCCAAAAAAATATTATTTCAATAATTAATACCTTTGTGATTGAAAAGAGATGTAAATAAAACACTTATCAGTTTAAAATCGAGATGTATTAGTTTATTTAAATTGGGAGGACGGCATCAAGTTATATCTAGGATATACACCTAGGATCGCTTATTTGATACAAGGATCCAGCCAGAAAAAGATGGCGCTAGCGTAGCAGTTTTTACTTTGACATCAGAGACTCCATCTTTAATAACCCCGAGACCATGGCTGCCGCAATTTGTCTATAAGTTATACTAACTACTAATACATTTTGCATTTGAAACCGTTATAAGTGTTTCATTAAAATGTGAAACCTTTTAATTTAAAAGTTAAGTATCAAACTTTTTTAATTTTTTTATTTAAAAATTTGCTTTTATGTCTTTTCGTCCCTCACATGGTAATAATAATGCTTATGATGATTACAGATATATCCGAAAGTCCGGGGAGTCTCAATTTGGACAAGGTCTCTGTTATACGCTGAGTAACGACCTTCAATTAGTCGACGTATGGGAGCCGTGCCGAGGTCGATCCGTGCAAAGGTATAATTTGATCCCTGTTATGATATCATAGCTTTTCATTAGAATCAAGTAAAGCTTTGGTGATGACAGAGCTTAAATTTTAGATTAATATTGCGAAGGAAATGTTTTTTTTTATTCGACCTACTTTAGACATACAGAAATCTACAGACTGACCCGTACAGGTTACACATCGATAGCTTTTTCATATGTGGATTCTAATGACCCGGTCGGAATTTTGACATTCCTATCACACATTTAAAGTCTTAATTTCCGTACGCAGTCTAACATTTAACTTTTTTTTTTTGAAACTCTGGATTTAGTAGAAATAGGGTCCACAACTATTATTGAACTTGATACGCGTGTAATAAAAACGTTAACACGATATAATTAACTATGGTACTGTACTTAATACAATATAATTAAATACCGTACCATAGTTTAACTCCCTCGTGTAAGTTAAATGTGTTTGCTAGTATTGCGTCCAGCGCAAGAGGTCCTGGGTTTGAATCCCGAGGAAACAATATTTTATTTTGGTCGGGCAGGGCATAGAAGTGTGATCTACTATTTGTCTGTAGATAAAACCATACTCTTATAATAAAAATAATAAAAAAAGTAATTTCAGAGAACACGAAGAGTTTGGTTTCTGTCAAGTCGGTACAAGCAGTTCCATACTCGAAGACGACACTTTGGTGCTTGGAAGTCCAGGGCCTTACACATGGAGAGGGACCATCTTCACTCAGGACACAAATGATGATCTCATAGAACGTGACCATGTGGTCTACATGGCACCAGTTGAAGATGGATACAGTCCTGTTGAAAAATACAGTTATTTAGGTAACATATATACGAAATCAATAGAAGTTATTGCAATATATCTTCATTTTTTAATAATATATAATAGAATGGAGTTAGGTGGAGGAAACTAGAAAATTATATAAAAAATACCTTTGAATTCATTTACTGGACATAACTTGTATAGGTTACTTGCAACACACTCACGAAATACAGTCACAATAATATAAAAAAATTTAAAATATAAATTGTTAATTTGTATTTTTTTTATTTATAATCGACTTTTAATTTATATAGTGCCATCATATGCATGTACATGTGAAAAATATTAAAGCTTATAAAACTCTTCTACATTAAGGATTTCTGAAGTTTTATCACCATTACACACATTTCAAACATTGTAGGTATGTCAGTATCAGGCGCTAGCTTTTTCGGAGACAAGCCGTCGTACGCAGCTGGTGCGCCTCGAGCTCATGGTACGGGCCAGGTCGTAGTCTTCAGTAAGCGTGTGATCGAAGACTGGGCTAGGACAGATGTGGACATCTTGAATTTCACATTGTTATTAAATGGAGAACAATTTGGTTCGAGTTTTGGATATGAGGTTTCAGCAGCTGATGTTAACGGCGATGGGTATGTTTGTGTTCGATTTTTAAAATTGATAGTCCTCAATTAAAAATCGAAAAAAATTGAAAAAAATTATCAATTCGTCCAGGACTTGAATCGGCATCGTCAGCGTTCCGTGCTGTTACTCTACCAATTGAGCTACCGAGTCGAAATTTTTTTCAATTTATTTCGATTTTTAAATGTTCACATAGTAAAGTGCCTTCATGTGCAATAACATGTAAAAAATAATTAAAGTTTTCAAATGATATTCTTAATTCAATTTTTAGTTGTGTTATTAAATAAGATCTGATTTTATGTCAAAATATTGTTTGAAAATGTACCTACCTATGTTACATCCATTTATCTGTTACCTCCAGTATGACCAATGAAAGAGCTAAGTTTACTAAATAGGGAGAAAGAAACAATTTTCAAGGGTTCGTTGGTGCATTGTATGGTGAGTCGTGGGTTCGATTCCCTCCTGGTCAAAAATGTTTCTAACCGATTAAAAAAAAATCTGAAACATTTGCACTACCGCCCAGATATTAAATGGGTGGGTGAAAACCACAGATGAAAAGCCGTTGAGTTTAATCTCTTTTCGGTTTCAGTGTGCGAATTTAAAAAAACCGAAATAGGTCAACCGCGCATCTTGTTAAGATGTTATATAGCTTGATTATTTCACCTACTTTCAAGTAAACCCCAAGTCCATAAAAACATATATTTCTATGAGAGATTTTTTTTATTAGTATTTCCTTTTCAGTCTTCCCGATCTGCTAGTCGGAGCCCCGTTTTACTTCTCGAGAGACGCAGGCGGCGCCGTCTATTTATACCTGAATATAAACCACAACTTGCCCAAGGATTATGATCTGAAACTAACAGGAAAATCCGAATCACAGTTCGGGATTTCGATCGCCAACGCAGGAGACTTAAATAAAGACGGATGTGAAGATATAGCAATAGGCAGTCCGTACGAGGGTAACGGCGTTGTTTATATACATATGGGCGATAGGAAAGCCGGCCTCAAAACTAAACCAGATCAGATTATCAAAGCTGAGTCGTTGCCAATCGTTATGAAAACATTTGGCTATTCGCTATCTGGTGGAACTGATCTTGATGCTAATGGCTATCCGGATTTGTTGGTTGGCGCTTATGAAAATGTACGTATTGTAATTGTTTAATTATATGGTACACGCAAATTATTATCACTAGCTGTGCCAGCGACTTCGTCCGCGTAGAATAGTTATTTTGGGCATCAAATGTTGGTTTTTGCAAACCTCATCTTATTAAACTAATACTTAGTTGTAATTGATCTTCATTTTCTTATACTACATATGTAGTCTTGTGAAATAAATGGTTTGAATCTAAGTATTTGTAATTGTTGTGCCTCTCAAACTCTTTAATTCAAAAAGTGAAATCCCTCTACCCTCGTGGGGCATGGGGCAAACACAATTCTGTATCTTGATCAGATTTTTGTGCCTGACCGAAACGATCAATTGTTTTTTCCAGGATTTAAAGCCAGGACCTCTTAACGCGATGTTAAGCAAAACGTTTAACTGTTTAGCTACATAGTCTTTATATAATTTTTATTCACATTTTCAGAGCAGCGTCGCCCTAGTTCGAACGAAACCTATAATCGATATAAAAACATCGATACGACCATCGAATACGATCATAAATATCGATCCAACGATACAGGGATGCGAGAAGGATCCGAACTCTAATTACACTTGCTTCCATTTCCAAGCCTGCTGTATCATTAAGTCTTTGGTGAGATCCACCCAGAGTAACGTCCATGAGTTAAATTACGTCGTCGAAGCCGAAACATTCCCGGGGGGAAGGAAGTATTCTCGAGTATTCTTTAGCTCTGAAAAGACGAATATTGTCAATAAGACAATACATTTGGGAAAAGATGAGGAACACTGTCGAGAACATGTCGTTTATTTGAAGAATAACACCAGGGATATACAAACTCCTATTAGAGTAAGTATTTCCTTTTATTTAACAAAAGTAACTCTTGTAGTGTTTTTTTTTGTATTAAAGAGGAGGACAGACGAGCATGGAGGTCACTTGATAGTAGGAGAAACCAGCTATATAACATCCAAACAGGATGCGCTATCGACCTTTACCACCCTTTCAACATTTCCAGACGAAGTCTAGCGTGTTTCAGAAAAATTATAAATGAATTTGAAACTTGTTGGAACCGGAGGAGATCGAATCACAACCCTTTGATTATTAGCCACAAATTGCTACCATTACACGAACGAACTCTCCAACAGCATATGATATATTTTCAGTTTCAAGTAACATACAAGATAGTGCACGTAGAGCCGCAGTATTCAAGTAGTGGTGAACTTCCCAACATAGATGACTACCCAGTCCTAAACGCCACGGCGACAACGGCTTTTAGTGCCAATTTCCTCAACGATTGTGGCCTAGATGGTGTCTGTGTCAGCGATCTTGTTGTAGACCCTGTACTGCAGCTTCCTAAAAGTAAGTTATAGAAAGACTACAGTGTGGGATAGTGAAAAAATACAATAATTCTTTTTCGTAGTATAATATAAAGAAAAAAGAATAAAACCATCTTTACTTGAATTAGGTAACATTCATAGTTTTCTTGTTAATTAAAAAAAAGACAAATAAGACAATATTAGAGTTACAACTACTATTTTTAAGTAAGTCACTATTTTTCAAAACTTAATCGTAGCAAAAAGTCGCTTAGGTAAATCATAATTAAACTATATAAAAATAAATTATTAAACCAGAAATGTCAAATTCCTACTGTACACATTATTAATAAAGAATCTTTACATTATAGCGTTCTCTTTCTGTTCACAGCTGAAGATGGAAAAGCGTATGCTCTCACACTGGGTCAAGAAGAAGAGATCCATCTCTCTATTGCTGTAGATAACTACGGAGAGTCCGCATATGAAGCTCAGCTATTTATTCAGCACCATGCTAGTCTCCATTACATCGCAGCGAATATTAGTGTAAGTACAAGTCTATGTTTGTTCTCGCCGCATATAAATAATGTAATAAAAAGATGACATTTATTTTAGGTGCATAATATATCAGGTCGTTATTAATGGCATTATATAACTGTTCTATTTATTTTTTCCAAAATTTGTTTTGGTCTTCGAGCCGGACATGATTCAGATTGTTATTACCTATTTTGCATGTGTAACTTCACCACACAATTGAAAGGAGCAAAGACATTTAATGTTATTTATTCAATAGGGTAAACATATGATATGCACCAGTGTAAACAAGACTATAGTATCATGCCTCCTGGAGAACCCTTTTAAAAGACAGTTGGATGGTTCAGCTGCTATCACTATACGATTCGATGCAAGAGCATTAGAAGACAATGAACCATCAGTTGTATTCTCTATTTGGGCTAACTCTACTTCCAAAGAACTTCATCCTGGCAAGAAACCTGTACACGTTGAGGCTCTCGTGATTAAGAACGCGGAGCTCTTAATCAAAGGGTAATCAGATGTTGCATCTGTTTTTAAGATATTTTAAATAAGTAGAACTATTTCCACATATTTAAAAAAGTTAGAGTCATTTTGTTTTAGATCAAACCTATGTTTATTTTTAACACACTATCCAAAGTAATTTAATAGCGTCAACTATTTCTTAATTTAATTAGCTATGAGCGAAACTATGGTAGAATCATCCTTTTCGACACATGAAGATTGTCGCCGTAAAGATTACTGAGACCGTTCCTTTGTTAGCTATTGAAATTTCGTATTTTTTAAATATTTACATATGTTCCTAACATTAAGTATAATTTATTAGTATTTTAGCTAATACTAATAATATGATTCATATTTTTTCTTTGATTTACAGAGCTGCTCGTCCCGAACAAGTGTTCTACGGGGGTGAAGTAAAAGGAGAATCAGCAATGACCTATTTTGACGATATTGGAACCAGGGTTATTCATACATACCAAGTAAATATTATCTTTTTCTTAAGAAACATAGACGTATATATTGTTTTACGGGCTTCTTGGTGTAATGGTCGCGGGTTTCATCCCCACCGGATTCAACATTTCACTAATCAATTTCTAATTCTGGAAAATTTTCATATTGAATGCGTGGTAGAAATATCCTCCACCAACCGCCGTCCACAAATGAAAAAGTAAATTTTAATCACGTTTCGGTTTTAGTCTATGGATTTTCTAATATCCAAAGCCGAATAGATCGACAACGAATCTTGCTTAAATGCAAGAGGCTGGAATATTTCAGCTACCAGCAAGTATGGGATTTAGACTTGTTTGTCCTCCTCTGTCATTAAAAAAATGATAAGATTATAAAAGTTTGTAGTCTACATATGGTTATACATTGAATAAAACATTTTAACTTTGAAAACGGTTAGTTAAATTTAGAGCTATCAAAAATGTCTTTTGTGTTCTAAACCGTTGGAAATATGTTGTTACATTGTCGCTTTATAAAACCTCTTTCATTGGATTTAATATATGTTGACTCTTTAACAAACATATTGTTTGTTACAGGTCTTTAACGAAGGTCCATGGCGTGTATCGTCTTTGCAAGTCGTGATATCTTGGCCACATCAGGTTGCATCAGATAGCGACCAGGGAAAGTGGCTCCTCTACCCTGAAGATGTTCCTACGGTGGATGGCGAAGCTGGTAATTGAATTATTTGTGTTTATTAGTAACAGTATTACCTAATTGATTTAAGACTAAAAATTTGGCTCCCACAGTTAATTACAGTTGCGCAAGTAGTTAAAACGCGAAATTTTACTTATTTTTAGCGACGAACCTGTAATCGTTTCGCTATTTAGAATGTCCAAAGTTTGAAGTGGCCAGGACATCTTGTTCTGGCTTACCACAAAATAACCTATATTCTTATTTTAACTATTTTCATTACAGATCAAAGCAATGGAGAATGTTTCATATCGGAGAGCGAAATCAACCCTCTCAAACTGACAACACGTCCAGGAACCTTCGAGCCATACCTGGAGAATCTTGAAATGGATCCCTTCTTGAGTACCGGCAAGTTAAGTGTCAGTTCTAACGAAAAGGAAAATAATTCTACGTACAAGAACGTGGTGGAGTATAAGAGTGGAGCCGAGAATAAAATTAGACGGAAAAGAGATAGTGATATTGTCAAAGCTGAGGCCTACACAGATAAGGATGGACAGAGGAAGCACGTTGTAAACATGGTTAGTATTTTGTTATTGGTCATGATCCTCGGGTCCGGATCCTCGCGTCCTTGGTCTAGCCACGGAAATTTGGAATATTCGAATTCTATACGGCTTACTAAGGATGGAAAGACGTGTAAAATAATTTACTTTGCGTTTTAATTTAAGTCTGTGGATTGGCGACTGTAAAAAACCCAATAGAGAGCCCATCAGAGAATCTTGCTTAGATGTTATATGGTTAGGGTATATCAACTTTTTCCCCTATGTAATAAAAAAACAAATAAAAAATAAAGAAAAGAGTTCGGATGCATAAATTCAGTCCTAGATATGCAGATATTGATACTCAAAATATAATTGATTTAAGAACATGATTAATCATTACTGCAGTGTTTGAAGCTGCCACAGAATAGTAAATGTATCTTCTTATAAATATTATTCTAGAACAGATACGCAAGGTATTGACTGCTTAAAAAACTTTATAAAATTCAATATTAGAAATAATTATTATGGATTGTTAACTAGACATGTTAGACAATCTACCTTCTCTCTCTTTCCAGAACTGCCAGAAGAAGACAGCGAAGTGTATCCAGTTTCAATGCGTGATATATCGCTTGGGGCGAATGCAGGCGACCACGATCACTGTGAAGGCTCGTCTATGGAACTCTACTCTAGTAGAAGATTATCCTCGAGTCAGCCATGTTAATATAGCATCTACAGCCTTTATACATATTCCTGAACACTACAATATACACCAAAATAAGCATCATGATGATACAGCAACGGTGAGTTGGTTATATATATTAATATCATAAAGTTGAAGGGTTTGTTTAGACGTGCTAATCTCAGGAACTACTGGTTCGAATTTCATTGATTAGAGCATGTATCAAAGGCTTTAGACTATAAAACATTAAGCCGGGACCAATAGGAGCAAAGAAACACTGGGAAATGTGGAAATACAGGGAACAATATTAAACTTTGAAGGTTTCGACACCGAATGATTCCTCCTTAAATGATCTACATAATGTGCGCGACAGTAGGTATATGTCTATCTTTTAAGATGTACTTCCAAATATGACGGGACGCGACGGACGTCGTGGGTTGAAAAGATGAGAATTGATAAAGTTGGGAAAATTCGCAACAACGAATTTTGATGCTCAAAATAACTATTCTATGCGGACAAAGCCGCTGGCACAGCTAGATCAGCTGTCTATTTATAAATATAACAGAAATTTCTTGCGTTACATTTACAATCCGTTATATTTTTATCATTACTATACGAGTTTATTTGTCTAAATTCTTAAACGACGTGAAAGTCAAAGAAAAAATCGTTTCTTCACGTATGTACACTTACTAACGTTAAAAGCTAAAGACTTTAAATTTACACGAAATTTATACGAGAAGAACTGGCAAGAAACTTGCCGTCACTCCTTTTATCGTCAAGTTAAATTTTACTGTTTAAATATTGATTACCATCAAGAGGTTATCGCTAATTTTGTTCATCACTTAATGATCTTTTTTTAGGTTGAAACTGTCGCCTATCCAGACTTGAAGATAAGCGAACCATCAGAAGTTCCCCTTTGGGTCATTATAGTGTCCATCATAGTTGGCCTAATAGTGCTAATACTTCTAATCATTGCGCTGTGGAAGCTGGGCTTCTTTAAGCGGAGCAGACCAGACCCTACGCTGTCTGGCAACTTGGAGAAGAACAATCATGAGTCTAGTCCTTTCATTGGTCGGGATAGGAACAGTATTCGGTAGCTTTTAGTTAACATCTGTACATAGTTGAAAGTGAATGACAATATTGTTCGAGCAACTAGCAACAAGCTATAATTAAACTGAACTGTGAAAAAACTATAAATTGTAGAGCACTAGTCTATGGCCAAGTGAAAAGAATACGAACGATGTTCGTTTGTTTTAAAACGTATATCTATGATGTGAAAACAATTTGAAAATTGAATTCTATATTACTTCGATCAGTTAAATGCTGTGCTATTTATAGATTTGCTTTTTTATTTCACCAGTTTTTATGTGTTGCCAGTTTACTTGTCTTCAAAGCATGTGCGTTGAAAAGGTGAATACAAGAACAATTCTAAGTATACTTAATGTCAACGACTGTGATGTGTTCGTAGATGAATTATGTTTGACGATGTTAAATGTTACGCCCTTATGAATGGTGTAACTATTGTTTTTATTTTGCATTTCTTAGGTAAAGTGAAGAATTATGTATGTTTATATAAAGAATATGTTTTGTTCTGTAAATATTACTTGCCTTATTTATGAATTTTAGGCTTAAATATGCTGACTAGATGTCTTACTAGTCAAAGTTTGTTCTATTGTGGCTTTTAAGGTGCGCGTCTTGTTTTACTTTATAGTGATTTTGGAGGTATTTATTTATAGAGAAATACAATAAAACAAAAGATGAACACAATATAATTTAAACCTTGTATTTGTTCTACTTATTTTTGTCACTACTTTGTGTTTAAACATAACGCAAATATTACATTTAAATGTAGTTTTGTATTTTATAATAAATGTAATGTATATAATTACTTAACACTACTTTTAGGCACATGTACTTTTAAAAAATGACCAAAGCGAATCAGGAATGTTTTACGAATATTAAATTTTTATTAAAATTAAATGATAAAATTTACTTAAACTTTGTATATTTACATCTAATGAAGTTTGGTGTTTTGATCAATGACATACAGGCCCCATTAATTATTTCAAATTTGTAAAGAAGTATGTCCATTTCAGGCTATACATGAACAATAGAAAATAAAAAAATTATTAAATATCTAAAATATTTCTAAGTGTAAAAACTTACATTTCCACAATATAAAATAGTGTTAACTTACATATAACATAATTTATTGAAATCAGAGAAAAAAAACATTGATTGATGATTGATAGATGTCCATTTTTGGTCTGTTGTATAATGAGGAGTAGGTACAGCAAACTGTGAGAAAATTTTAAACCATTTACTTAAAAACTATTTTTACAATATCTGTCCACAATATCTACTTATTTTATGTCGTTATAGGTTTTATAAAAATTATGAATTCTGTAATAATTTTAACAATATTTAATTGTAGGTAAGTGTAAATAAAATGTAGTATTTATACCTAGATTTTTTACTAAAAATTTGTTGTTAAATATTTTAAGTTCTCTACTATGATTGTTCTTATGTACTTATTAGAATAAAAATTATTCCCCATAAAATTGTACCAATTGTAAGTTACTGGTTGTGAATATTTTGACACTATCCTTTCGTGCTTACACAATTAGAATAAAGAAATGGTGCCATTTTTATATTTTTATTTATTACGAAATTTGACTTAAAATAAATTTCGTCCTTTTCTATTCCATTAAAACTTCTGTCGTAAAAACATCTAGTACTAAACAAAACTTTGGTTCTAGATATTTCAAATAATTGGACCTACCTGGGATTTGAAACTTAGACCTCGTTATCTGAAGCCCACTAGCATTTGATAATATATTATTAACAAAATGATATACAACATTTTAGTATTATTTAAATGTAACAATTTTTACATTAAGTACTTATGAACAAAATTAAATACGACTAGTATAAAAAAAAGATTAATATGGTACAAATTTGTTATTTGAAGTCACGGTAGATCTCTGAAACAAAATACAATTATGTTATAAAAAATTGAATAGCTAACATTTTCTCTTATTGAGAATAAGAGAGAGCATAAAAGTTAAATAATTATTATAAAACAAGTTCGTAAGACTCTTTAATGGTTTTTTGAATATCATTTCAACTACGGCCTGACGTTTGAAATGCTTCGTAGCACGGGTCACGGGGAGACGAAATATGGAGGGTGGCTCTAACGTCAAAAAGTGCAACGCTAGCGCCATCTATCTATTCCGTCAAAGTTGGTATTTGTCGAATAAGTTTTAAAATAATGGCGTAGTTAAAGTGTTTTATTTAAATGTGTACTACTCGCGTAAACTTCAGACAGTATTTAGAAAAGTAAGTTTATGCTAAAGGATGAAAATGAATTTTCAACTTTGTACAATAAAAATACATGTTAAAATTACCAAACAACATTTCGTTGTGATAAAATGAGAGATAATTGATAAATTCTAGAAATAACATTATACATACTTCTTTTTTCAACGTAGACCAACAAAAGGTACACATAGAGGCATTCTTGTGTTCACAGTTGTCATTACGGAGACAAGGTCGTTCCATGTCACCTTAAAAACGGTTTTAAACTCGAAATCATGATTTTTAAAGTCTTACCCATCGCTCATTTAATAGTTTCCAAAGTTTGACCTCACATTATAATATAGACAAAATGATATTGGTAGATTATATTAGCTTTTATTTACAGTAAGATATAGCTTAGGGCTTTATATGGCCGCTTAGTAGCTAAATGTTTTACCTTACCGAGTGGTCATGGGTCCCAAACCCAGGAAACAATAGATTTATTTGTTGGTGTTATTGTAGCAATGTATACTAATTATCAGTTGTAGATTCGATCCCAGCACATTTCTAATCAATTTATAATTTTGTTAAAACATATTGGACTTCGCCTGGTAAACTTAATATGGGATGTAGGAATATCGATATTCCGTTCGTGACCGTCCACAGATTAAAAAGCAAAATAGGTATCGTCATATCTTGCCGAGATGTTATATAGTTACAGAAGTCTAATCAAATTGCCAGTAAAGTAAACGGATCGAAATGAGTTCGGCCGCAACGGGGCAAAACGGATTTTATTACTATGACCTTATGTTTAAAAGCCCACTGCACATATTACAAGACCTCCCCGATTTTGAAAGCGTAACTCACCTGTATATAATTGGTTGTCAAGATGTGTAATGTAACTGCCGGCCAAGCGTAGTATTTCAATTTTGCTGAGTTTGCGATCTGGAGGTTCCGTTGGTATGAGCATGCGCAGCGCATTAAACGCCATGTTGACACTGCTTAGTAATTCAAAATATTGTGATAGCATATTGGTCAGATAAATTTACACTACAAATAATTCATCGAATGCTTAAATGGGTCGACAACACATCTTGTTTAGATGTTATATGGCTGGGATATTTCACGTTCAATTAATGACTTGATAATTTAATTTTTATTTAATAAATATAGAGACAATATTTTAACTTCTTGACACAAGTCGACCTATTTTGGTTACATAGGGCGACAGCACACGTTGTTTCGATGTTATATGCCTGGGGTATTTAATTTACAATCTTTCCTATTTGCCTCAAACAGATTTACCTACAATTGGTTTCTTATAAATCAATTATTCTAAAAACCTTATTATGTTTTAAATATAAATTAAAATTAATTTAGATTGTAAAATATTTACGACACGGGATAGAACACACTGTGGATGCCGGTTCAAAACCAACCCGGGACGCACATTTTTACATCGTTAATAGATTTTAATTTAAAATAAATTCTTATTGTTTAAGCAAATTGAAGTGGTCAATTCTTATTAACTTTTTGACTCAGGGTCACAGTAGAATAAAAAGTCGTCCAAAATATGGACTATCGAAGACTAAGATTAAATACTAACTTTTGAGTCCGATCTCTTTCTCGGGCGTTTGCTTGGTACCTCTGCTTAACTGGCGCAGATCCCGTATCCCGACACTGAGATCCAAACGTATCCCAGTTCTCAGTATACTGATACTGAAACTCCATTGTCACTGGTCGGATGCACGAGTGGGACTAATCTGGATTCGTGTAATCTGTCGTTATATGAGTCCAGATGGGTATCGTTCATGAAGGAGTCATTTAGGAAGAACAGCGCGCGCCACTGACTCGCCTCTTTACTGATAATTGTATAAACAGATGCCTCCCGATTGCGACAGGGCCGGATTGCAGCACTAATTAATTTATATGTTTTGTTTTGGTTGTGTTTGTTCGATGAAAATATCCATTAAACTATACGTAATTTGCAACTTATGATATTTAACTACGAGCTACCTAGTGAATTGGGTTAGAGCAACAGCATGGGTGCGGGTTCTAGTCCTGCCCGTGTCGCAATTCGATTTTCAATTTATATAATTCTTCCATGTGTAATAACGGGTAAATTAATTTCAAACCTATAATTTTGTTTTAAGTTGCAGAATGTTAGCAAAAAAATGTAAGGTATTTTGTATTTTCTTTTACCCGTAACGCAATGCTTCTTATACTTTTCGTCGTATTAGTTAAAAAAATATATAAGTACTGTTTGGAGTTTACGGCACTAAATTTTTTTCAAATGAACAGTTTTAACGGTTTAAAACGCGAAATATATAAATTAACTTTTTATTAATATGTTGTAATGACAACCGACGTTTCTGATGCCATCACGTCGTTGATACAGAAGGATATAAAAAAAATGTTAACTAGATATATTTAGTGTTTTGAAAAAAAAAATAAAAAAATAAATAAAAAAAGTTAAAAATTCAATTATGAAAAAATTTAAGGCTATATGTAGACTATTTTTTGATTTCTTAGTAAGTGGGTCAGTCTCTAATAATATCGCGTTTTAGCCTGAATCCTCCCCTGTAGTGGCGAATGGTTGAGATGTCATCAAGGATGTAAAACTCGGAACCCCTTGTCTTGTCACCATTTGTTTAAACTAACTACACTCATAAATATTTTTAACATCCCTGTTGAAATGTTATATCGCGCAATTATTCTGGATACAATAACACTACTGTAATAATACAGAGATATATCAAATATTTTTTATTTAAAATTTACATGTTTGATGCAAATGAAAGAGAATTTAAGTGTTTAAATCGTATATAATTAAAAAACACATTGCGTATCACACTACACTCATTTAATACTAGCAGTGCCAGCGACATCGTCTGCTTAGAATAGTTATTTAGGCATTTTAAAGAGATATTACTATTTCATACATATTTTTTGGGTATCATGAGCCGTTGTAGCGTACGCCTCGGAAGCCCATAATTATTAATAATTTTTCCATTTACTTTTTTAAAATCTCTCGCTGTATTTTCGATTGTATTAGTCACGGGGCGATGTCTTATAGTCGATAAATGCTCTAACACAAACAAAAAGATTTTTTAATTCAAACCCGTAGTTCCTGAGATTAGCGCGTTCAAACAAAAACAATCTTCAGATTCATATATAAGTATAGATTAAGAACAACATCAAAGCAGCCAAAAGGCTAACATACATCTTTGTCAATGAGCAAGTAGTAGTTTTGCAGTGCCGGAGTCATCATATTTTCTTTTCCTCGGGATTCAAACCTAGGATTTCAACGCAATATTAGGCAATTTGTGTAATTATTAAGTTGTTATCTATAGATATTACATGTATTCATATATAAATAAACTACAGATTAAAATTACTGTACGTCAACATCAAACAAGATTCGTTCAGCATTCTCGAGGGATGATGTTTCGTGGGAAAGGATAATTGCTTAATTAAACAAACGACTCTAATAAACTCATTCATATTCATTCGTCTAACTAGATCCACATTGTAAAAACAATTCGTGTAAACTGTTAACAATTAAACGACTATAAGACTTTTTGTTAGTCTGTGTAATTTAAAAAACATTCACGTCGTAATTATTTTCTTGCTTTGGTATTTGGTTGCTACTACTGTCTGTAGTTTACGCGAATGCACATTAAAATAAAACACTTTAACGGTTTAAAACGCGTTATATTTTAGCTAAAATTATATGAAAGTTAATTTAACTACGGCCCGACGTTTCGGATGCTGTGCAGCAACGGGGAGACTAATAATGATCACGATTGCTGCAAAGCATCCGAAACGTCGGTCAGTAGCTTAAAAAACATTTCAAACAGGTTTAACCTAGCATTTTAAACCGTTAAAGTGTTTTATTTAAATGCTATTTCTACTAGCCTAAAATAAAAATGTATAGGACTGTATTTCCTTCTATTTTTTTACTGTAAACATTTTGTGTTATGTGTCGGTTTATATATACTGTTCTACCTGAAATGTCAGGCGTGGGGCATCACTGATAATCGTCCCTCTTCCAGATACAACAAAAGCTGTATGATGTTCCTCCACTACATCTATTTTATTATTTATTTTTTGTATTTTTCTAGAATGTTTTGTCCATATTTGTATTGTATTAACTTAGACTGTGTTTTAAATATATTGTTGATTTTCATTTATTTTTTTTTAAATTGGCACGGTACATTAACCAATTACAATAATCAATTAACACTTCAACTCCTTTGGAAACAAAGTTCCTTCTCATAGCCTATATTTTGTCTTTTACTCTATTAAACGTGAAACGACTCATTTTAAACCTGTTTACTAGCAGTCTAAATCACACGAACTGAGGTCAAAAAGCATCGTGCCCGAACGCGGATCCTCGTAATCGCAGACGGATCGGCTTAGAATGAGGATTCTCCGAAGGCTGCGTGACGTCACGTCCCCCCCCCATCGGACCGGCGCGGGCGCACCATTGCCAACACTTTCTCCTCGCGACACCTCAGCTGGAGAAACCGTACGCGAGTAGTTCACGAACCGCGAGCGAGCCGAACGTCTTCTATGACGCTGCACACTTCCGTGTTAACTTTCGCGACGTAAACATTTTCGAAACGTGTTTTCATTTATTCTATAAACGAACACGTACTCTTGCGCCGGTGATGTGTATTGATTTGAGGTAAGTTTAATTTAGTTTCGATAGATTTCGGCGATAAGATGACCAGATCTAGTGGTGAACGCAAGGACGTTTGACTCAACGGACGGACAACAACGATAGCTTAATATTTATGGCTAATCTCGGTTGCGAAATATCTGTAAATTTAGGTTATCACATAATTTAATTTGTAATATTGTTAGCCTTTGTGACTTGTGAATCTCAATGACATACTCACTGCAACTATTTGATATATTAACTATTTGCCCATATTTTTAATTACTTAACAAGAAAGTTCCTTTGAAAGAGAAATATTAGCTTATATATAGCATTACTAAATCAAATTATTAAATATTATGACATTAGACATAGAGGCGTGGGGTGAAGCACTTGATCGAAGGCATACCGTATTCCTTAGCCCTCTTACATACAATTGAGATGTGCTGTTAACCATATTAAGTTTGGACATTGGGAAAATTCACAAATTAAACTGAAATTTTAATTTAACTTTACAGATTTTGTTGTGGTTCGGTTGTTGATTTTCTACAACTCATTTAAAAAACAATGTCTCAAATATTGTCTGTATTTAAACGCGATATTATATTAGTTAAACTTATTTGAAAATTATTTTAACTACGGCCCAACGTTTCGATCCATCAAAATGAGTGATTTTCAAATAAGTTTAACTAATATATATCGCGTTTTAAACCGTTAAAGTGTTTTTATTTAAAGAATGTCTTATTAAGAACAGTCATAAGTAATTAAAAATTAAAACCCAAGATATGACAGGAATTTTAATGAAACCCAACAAAGTTAATAGTAACGAGCTACGTGTATTGTTGTTTAAAAGTCAAAGTGGGTTTAGCCAAGTTTAAAGATCATGAAAATTCAAAATTCGAACGGAAAACTAATGAATCACTGGTCCAATATCCTGCCAATGACCTATCACAATGCCTGTATCTCGACATATACTTTGCAACTTGTACCACCGTTAGTTTAGATACTATCTGAAATATTGACGAGTCATTATTCTACATGCCAATATTATTTAAGTTTCCATTGCGGTCCAAGCCTTAGCCCCATTGGGGCAAATGGGGCAAAACGTCCTATTAGTATTGATGGCCCCAGGTCAACATACGGTAAAAATAATCTTGAAACAGAGCAACAGAAAATTTCAGTGTTGCCTTTATTTTGTTTATAAAAGAAAAGCAATCTAACTTGTTAATTGTTAAATGAAACAAATTGCTCAAAACATGATCATATGAGTGAACTCAGTTTTTACTACGACCCATCGTTTTTTATACTTATTTATTGTGTGATTTTTACGGAACTCTTAAATTGTAATCCATAAGCAACTGAAATAGTAGGGTTATATGCCCCATAATTAAATAATAATTCATGGAATTTCTAATTTATTAAAATCTTTAAAAATGGTACTTAATATAAATAAATAAAAAATTCTAAAGTTCACCCCGGAAAAAAGAATATACTTATATAAATGTCCTTGTTGTTAATTTTTTTTTTTTAATAGTCGTGCATATTTAGATTTTTATAAGCGTAATATAATATATACAAATAAAAGGCTTTCAAAGTGTTAAAGCAATTGCCATGCTAGGATAAGTAATGTTTAAAATAATTGTTAAGTTTGGCCCTAAGCCAATGATTACATACCACAGATTAAGATCAAGCTTATTGGAGCTATACCTTCAAGTACTTTGTACTTCTTGGTACCTAATTTAATTGAATATTGAGGCGTACAATTGAAAAATCCCTCTTCCCAGCGTTGGTCATTAGACGAATACATTTATTTGTCCGTCACTCATCGGTTTTACTAACAGGCAAGCTGTTCTTAAAGTTCAGATTTCTGTACCTTGCACGACTTAAACAATCTATTATCACCCCGGGATTTGAACCAGGGATCTCTCGCGCAATGCTGGCACCACGAATACCTATTTAGCTAAAGAGACGGTCTGTTGACTAAATTCGTTTGCAGCAATTGATTTGAGATTACTTTAATAAAAAAAACATATTTTACGGTTTAAAACGCATAATTTATTAGTTAACT